AAATCAGAACGTGCTGATGTAGTGTTAAGGTCTGAAATGTCGGCCAGTTCCGTTTCATTAGGACACCCTATTAAATTTGACAAAATCGTATTTACTTCATCTGTTATTATTTTCAAAACTTCTTCAATCTGATCTTTATTAGGATTATTTAGACTATCATACAACGTTATTACTCTGTTTAACGTTTTGTCTTCGGTGTAACTGAAATTGAGCATTTCCATAATCAGGGACTTATAATTAACATTAAATGTATGATCGGTCGGTTCATATACAGCTAATTGCACCCAAATATAACAGTATAGTTTAACCCTAATTATATATATAAACGTTTTCTGAAATTCAATATGTTTAAACGGATCCTTCGTCCAGTTATGTGTAATTTCAAACTGATCATAGACCTTTTGACGACAAGCTGTGTACACACGCTCTATTGCATTCCAGTCAATAGTAACGTTCCATATTGGTTTAATCACAAACGATGTTTCATGCCATACACATCTTAAGGTTAAATAATTGAAGTCAAGAGGCAATGCAGGTATATTTTTATATAGTTCATGTTTTTCGTGATTCAGTTTATAAGATTCCTCAATTTTATTGAACCAATATGGTGGTTTAATTAATTCCTTCGACACAGGTTTTTTGTGTTTAAAATTTGTATGTTTCTTAACTTTGAAAATAAAACATCCCTCAAATTTATTTAACAGACTTGGCCTACTTACTGTACGACCAGGGATTTGTTGTCCATTATCTATGACTGTTAAATATTTATGTCCCATACACATTTCTATTAAATCGGCTAAAGGTTTTCGAAATTTTTCTAGATTTTGCCCTCTCATATGTAATTGTTGTACTTGGTCACCCTTAGCCGGTGACCACAGGGCGATATGTAGTTCCCAAAGCCATTTGAATACTATGAAATTCCCTTTGTATGCCATCGCTATCATAATGTATACATGCTCAGCAATTTCTTTAGTGTTCCGTTTTCGGTCATAATACAACTTGTACTGCAATATCATATATTGTGCACATTGAATTTCTTGTGACTTGCGATAGTATTTCAGTTGAGCGAGTACTTTATCATTTAGTGAATCTTCTGTGTTGCTGGTAGTCAATAATCGTATTTCGTCATCATTAAAGCCGATAGGAAGGTCCTTGAACGTTTTGTAAGTGTTAAGAAGTTCAATGAAATCGTTTGAATAATTCCCGACATTGATGTATTGTTTCCAAAACGCAACCTATAACATGACCATTTGTAATATTTAAATTAAAGCTAAATGTGTAATGTATAATAGATTAGTGTATGCAACATAAAATAAATCATTAGAACCGTTGTATGTTGGAATAGTAATTTATATAGATATAAAACATTGACTTGGTCGCTGTTAATGAACTAAATGGTAATTATCAAGCTCTTGTTCAATTTCTAATATAAAGATAGTTAAATATAAACAAAGAACACAAGTCTTGAATAGTTAAAGTTAAAAGGTAATAAATATAACTAAAAGAGAATTCTGTTTTGTATTTTTTATTTACCTTTGTTTCTTTTGGAATATCCAACTTTATTACTGCATAGCTTACTTCGTCGGCAATAGGTCTAAATACAAGTATATCAGTTAATGGAGATGATGTCACAGTCGTTAAATAAAAAACTAACTCTAGTATTAAAATTATAGAACACGAGTTTGTTGCCATTATAAATAATTTAGACTTTCATCATTTTTGTAATACGCTTATGTTGAAATGTATGTGAAAATTATGGAATAATGATATATAAACTGAAGAACTTTGAATAATTTGAAAATTTGTTTATTTTTTCAACATCAGCTAACAGTGTATACGTTTAAAGACATTAAAATGAACTTGCTGTTTTAATAGTTAATGTGTTTTCCCGCAGTTAAATAAATATATTTTCGTTTTTTTTTAATTTATGTATGCATACAAAATCAAAATAATGGTATCGAATCCAACACTTAAACGTGAGTTATATATTATAAGGCGTTTTTGCATTATACGATTTTATACAGGGTAAGAATAATAATATAGCCAGCTTTTTTCAATATAAAATATTTATATGTTTTTAACTAAAATTGTTGAAAACAAATTGTATTATGTTAAACTATTAGAAATGGTTTTTTATATTGGAGGATATGAAATATTGAAGATCAGTTATATAGGCTAGGTTTGAAAGTAACGTTGCAAACTACATATTTTTTAGGGTAAAAGGGTAAGGGTAAAAGAAGACTTTAATGTGATTTGTATTCTTATAATATACAACACACACCTATCCTGTCACTCCTTACCAATAACTTTCATTGATATTAACTGAACAATTATTTATTTAAAACGGCTTCTCAAATAGTAATTATTTTTTTAATAATAAGCATTTTGCATAAGAAAAATATAATATTATGAAATATTATGTAAGACGCTATGTTACTTCTGAACAATAACGATTTATTTTGAAAATTTAACAAAGATTTAATAATCTTATAAAGAAATACTGTAGTAGACAATTTTGATCGCGCTATATTGTGTATAAACTACAAAATTTTACTATACGAGTAAATAAGAATTATCTATTGTAAAACTATTAATCAACTATACTTGTTTGGCATTCATATAAATCTAGCTGCCTGTGTATCCGGCTTCGTTTGAGTACACAATTGCAACAAAGTACTTGCAAATTATGCATCATAATCTTTAAAAAACAATTGCTGCCCGTGTAAATACATACCGTGTACTGTGACATCACCGTTTCATTTATTGCTATGCTTTATGATACACGGCTTTTTTTTTGTTTTGTTGGCGAGTAAACAAATAGAGCTGATGGTTTTTCGAGACGGGAACATATAATTGACCATGCAAGAAGAATGGACTTATAGTTAAAAAAGTTGGTATAGCAGCTAGCCTGCTATGCCAACGACAACTAGGCCACTGACTTGAAAACATCTGTCTTGCTCCTACTTTTATACCTTAATACTATCTATTATTGTACAATAACATATATTTCTACTTCAAACGTAGTTTAACAGTAAATTTAAATATTACAATATAAAAGAAAATGTTCTCCTCGGTTAATAGGAATAATGTGTTTATTTATTTTCTAAAATACAAACGCCAAGCGGCTATTTTTACGTTAATTGTTAAAACTTAAGTAATAATTGTATTAAGCATTTTTATAGTTGTATTAGATGTATTTAAACCAATTTTCAGGAAACACAGCAAGCTGTGTATTTTTACTTCCGTTTATAAAGAACAATAAAACATCAAATGTTAATCCGTCTAACCTTCCATTAAACTGTCGTCCGATTTCAGTTATTTGCTCATCAATTTTGCTTAGAAAATCAGAACGTGACGATGGCGTGTTAATGGCTGAAATGTCGGCCAATTCAATTTTATTAGTACTTTCAAGTAAACTTGCCAAAATCGTATTTACTTCTTCTGTTATCATTTTTATAACTTCTTCAATCTGTTCTTTTTTAGGACTATATAGTTTATCATACAAAGTTATTACTTTGTTTAATGTTTTGTCTTCGATGTAACTGAACTTAAGCATATCCGCAATCAGGGACTTAAAATAAACATGAAATATATGATCAGTCGGTTTATATACAGATAGTTCCACCCAAATATAACAATATAGTTTTATCCTGATGATATCAATAAACGTTTGCTGAAATCGAATACCATGTTTAAACGGGTCCTTCGTCCAGTCATGTGTAATTTCAAACTGATCATCGACCTTTTGACGATCAATTTTGTACACATGCTCTATCCCAGGCCAGTCAATAGTAACTTTCGATATTGGTTTAATCAAAAACGATGTTTCATGCCATACACATCTTAAGGATAAATGATTGATACTGATAGGCAATGCAGGTGTATTTTTTTTATATAGTTCTTGTTTCTTGTGGTTCAATTGATAAAATTCTTCAATTGTATTGTAGAAATATGGCCTACTTAATTCCATTAAACCAGGTTTATTGTTTTTATTATTTCTGTGTTTCTTACCTTTGAAAATAACACATCCCAAAATTGTATTTAACAAACTTGGCCTACTTGCTGTACTATCTATGACTGAAATATATTTATGATGCACGCACAATCCCTCCAAATGGCTTAAAGGTCTTCGAAACTTTTCTAGATCATCCGCGATCATATTCAATGGTTGTACCGCATTATCCGTAGTCGGTGACCAAAGGCTGATATGTAATTCCCAAAGCCATTTAAATACTATGAATTTCCCTTTGTATGCCATCGCTATCATATTGTATACATGCTCAGAAATATCTTTAGTATTGCGTTTGGTGTCAAAATATAACTTGTAATGCAACGTCACATATTGTGCGCACTGAATTTCTTGACCCTTGCGGTAGTATTTCAATTGGGCAAGTATTTTATCATATAGTGAACCTTGTGTGTTGCTGGTAGTCAATAATCTTATTTCGTCATCATTAAAATTGATGGGAGGGTTCTTAAACGTCTTGTAAGTGTTCAGCAGTTTAATGAAATCCTTTGAATAGTTCCCAACATTGATGTATTGATTCAATAACGCAACCTAATAACATGACCATATGTAATCTTAAAATTAAAGCTAAATATTTAATGTAGGATAGGTTGTTTTATGCAACTTAAAATAAATCATTAGAGTCGTATCATCGAAGTGGAAACAGTTAATTGATATAGAGATAAAAATGGTAATTATCAAGCTGTTGTTCAATTTCAAATGTAAAGATAGTTAAGTATAAGCAAAGAAGACAAGTCTTAAAAAGTTTAATTTAATACGTAATAAATATGATTCCATGTAGAATATTGTTTTATTTACCTTTGTATCATTTGGAAAATCCAACTTACCGACTTCATTTCTAACCTCGTCGGCAATAGGTCTAAATACAAGTATATCAATTAATGGAGATGATGCCACAGTCGTTAAATAAAAAACCAATTCTAGTATTAAAATTAAAAGACACGAGTTTGTTGCCATTATGAATATTTTAAAGTCTAGTAGTTTAATTATTCTTGTAATGCGCTTATGCTGTAATGTAAGTGAAAATTATGGAATAATAATTTATAAACTCATGAACTTGAAAAATTTTACAACTTGAAAAATAACTCGACATCAACTATCGGCTTTTAGATACGTTTAAAAGCGTCAGACTAAATTTGCTTGTTTAATAGTTTATGCGATTTTCTGAAGTTCAAAATAAATATTTGTAGTTTAATGATACCCGTATATTATGTACACTATAACAAAATAATGGTATCGAATGTAAAACTTGAACGTGAGTAATATATTATAAGGCGTTTTCGCAGTATACGATTTTATACATAAGTGTTATGCAGACTATGTAGATACAGTTTTATTAAAGCATGACCCCAAAAAAAAATAAAAAAACATGTTATTTTTAAAACAACAAAACGCTTATAATATGCTATACCATATTACAAATGTTATACCGCCAATACTTTGTAAATTTATATGTTTGTTGATTTAAGAAAAAACCGGCAAAACTGTTCCAACTAATCATAGTTTCATTTATTTTTCTTAAATTAACGTCCTGCTAAAAAGTGAAAATATATTTTTCATCTAAATTTTCCCGTGACATTTTACTAGTGAGACGGTTGAGGTGTCTAAATGAACTGATACAATTTTGGTGCAAGTCACGTGATTTTTTCTTGTCAACAATAATTTTTTCAAGGTTACTCTAAAGTATAACCATCAGTATAGTTAAATGGAGTCGATTCGATATTTAGGAAATTATGTGCCGATGATTTGAGAGCAGTTTTTTTTTGTGTCTGGACCCTCGATATTCCCCCCTTAACCGCGAAGCGATTCCTCCATGTAAGCAATTTCTTCATATGAATAAGAAATCGTAACTTTAAGATACTTTTTGGCATAAAAATTTAAAGTTTCCCTTTAAAAATTAAGAGGAACACCCTATAAACTCACACTCTTTTTACCTTATAATTACGGCGCGCCAGTTAGGTGGAAAGCTCTTTATCATAGAGCTATAATTTATAAATATAGGATTATAGGTCTATGATTTTAAACGATTTGTTAGATCCTGAAGTTAGAGCCAAGTTAAACTAATGTCAAATCAAATATATGTGTTTATGAAGCCTATGGTAGACAAGTGATACGATATAAAGAAAAATTAATATTTCTTATTAAACCCAGTGAGATTTCGAGTGGTTGACGATAAGTCGATCACCATGTATTATCACATAATACAATAATTTAAATAATGTTATTTCAACCTTTTAGTCATAAAAATACATACAGAACCCTTATAAGTTAAATCATAAATATAATATGCATTCAACTTGCGTTATAAAGTTTATTTCAACCAAAGTTCACACAAATTGTTAAAGATTTTTTTTCTTTCATTGTAATATACGATATTTTTTCAACTATTTCAATAGTGATATTTTCTATCTTATCGAAAACAAGTTGTTTTTCATAAAAACTGTTTTAATATATATAATGGGATATTATAATATAAAAATAATTATAATTTAGGCTTTGTACATTATTGGATATCGATAGGAGAAGGAATTACAATCTAATTCGAAATTTATATTATTATACAACTATTCGAATATTCAAATGTTTAAAATAATATAAATATAATTAGTGAAACATCAAGATGCTAACGTGCAAGAAATAAAATAGGTCAAACATTTAAATACAAAAACAACAGCAAAAACATTAAGATAACATTTTTAAACATACGTATTGTCATAGGAAAGAAGTATCTATTTTAAGTATTAATTTTTTATTCAACTTTTATAACGCATATCGGATTCATTTTTGTAAAATAACATATATTTCTACTTTAACCGTTTCGTTAAGTTCAAACGTAGATAAACAATAAATTTAAATACTTGAATAAAAAAAAACACGTTCTCGGACACGGTGAAAAGGAATATGTGTTTATTTATTTTTATAATATAAATTCCAAACGACTTTTTTTATATTAACTATTATAACTTTAGTAACAATTGTATTCAGCATTTGTATAGGGGTTTAGATGTATTAAAATCAATTTTCAGGAAACACAGCAAGCTGTGTATTTTTACTTCCGTTTATAAAGAACAATAGAACATCAAATGTTAATCCGTCTAACATTCCATTAAACTGTCGTCCGATTTCAGTTAATTGCTTATCAATTTCGTATAAAAAATCAGAACGTGATGATGGCGTGTTAATGTCTGAAAGGTCGGCCAATTCAATTTTATTAGTACTTTCAAGTAAACTTGCCAAAATCGTATTTACTTCTTCTGTTATCATTTTTATAACTTCTTCAATCTGTTCTTTTTTAGGACTATATAGTTTATCATACAAAGTTATTACTTTGTTTAATGTTTTGTCTTCGGTGTAACTGAACTTAAGCATATCCGCAATCAGGGACTTAAAATAAACATGAAATATATGAACAGTCGGTTTATATACAGATAGTTCCACCCAAATATAACAATATAGTTTTATCCTGATGATATCAATAAACGTTTGCTGAAATCGAATACCATGTTTAAACGGGTCCTTCGTCCAGTCATGTGTAATTTCAAACTGATCATAGACCTTTTGACGATCAATTTTGTACACATGCTCTATCCCAGGCCAGTCAATAGTAACTTTCGATATTGGTTTAATCAAAAACGAGGTTTCATGCCATACACATCTTAAGGATAAATGATTGATACTGATAGGCAATGCAGGTGTATTTTTTTTATATAATTCGTGTTTCTTGTAGTTCAATTGATAAAATTCTTCAATTGTATTGTAGAAATATGGCCTACTTAATTCCATTAAACCAGGTTTATTGTTTTTAATATTTCTGTGTTTCTTACCTTTGAAAATAACACATCCCAAAAATGCATTTAACAAACTTGGCCTACTTGCTGTACTATCTATGACTGGAATATATTTATGTTGCACGCACAATCCTTCCAAATGGCTTAAAGGTCTTCGAAACTTTTCTAGATCATCCGCGATCATATTCAATGGTTGTACCGCATTATCCGTAGTCGGTGACCAAAGGCTGATATATAATTCCCAAAGCCATTTAAATACTATGAATTTCCCTTTGTATGCCATCGCTATCATATTGTATACATGCTCAGAAATATCTTTAGTATTGCGTTTGGTGTCAAAATATAACTTGTAATGCAACGTCACATATTGTGCGCACTGAATTTCTTGACCCTTGCGGTAGTATTTCAATTGGGCAAGTATTTTATCATATAGTGAATCTTGTGTGTTGCTGGTAGTCAATAATCTTATTTCGTCATCATTAAAATTGATGGGAGGGTTCTTAAACGTCTTGTAAGTGTTCAGCAGTTTAATGAAATCCTTTGAATAGTTCCCAACATTGATGTATTGATTCAATAACGCAACCTAATAACATGACCATATGTAACATTAAAATTAAGCTAAATGTGTAATGTATAATATATTATTGTATGCAGCTTAAACTAAATCATTAGAATCGTTGGAATTTGGAACAGTTAATTTATAAAGAAATGGAAACATTGTCATGGTCCTTGTTAACGATCCAAGTTGTAATTATCAAGCTGTTGTTCAATTTCAAATGTAAAGATAGTTAAATAATATAAGCAAAGAAGACAAGTCTTAAAAAGTTTAATTTAATACTTAATAAATATGATTCCATGTAGAATATTGTTTTGTTTACCTTTGTATCATCTGGAAAATCCAACTTCCCGACTTCATTTCTTACCTCGTCGGCAATAGGTCTATTTACAAGTGTATCAATTAATGTAGATGATGTCACAATCGTTAAAGAAAAAACCAACTCTAGTATTAAAATTAAAAGACATGAGTTTGCTGCCATTATGAACAATTTCGTTTAGTACTTTATTATTTTTGTAATGCGCTTATATTTTAATGTATGTGAAAATGATGGGACAATAATAATTTATTGACTCAACAACTTGGAAAATTATACAATTTAAAAAAATATTCGACATCAGCTATCGGCTAGAGGATACGTTTAAATGCGTTGGACTGAATTTGCTTGTTGATTAGTTTGTGTTTTTCCGAAGTTTAATATAAATGTTTTTTAAAACCTGTGTAATGTGTACACAACAACAAAATAACGGTATTGAATCCAACACTTGCACACGAGTAGTATATTATTAGGTGTTTTATAACATTTAATACAGGGTAATAATAATAATAACCTAATAATATAGCCAGATTTTTTTTTATTTGCATCCGCCACACACACCAATGAACTAGCCCTGTTACTCTTTAAAAAAAAAAATTAAGGAAGAATATATATGTTTTTCTTTTGCAAAAAAAAACTTGTTTAAATTACTGAAATCTTAGTACATTATTGGACTTAAATCTTATTCTATTAATATTTGTGTGCAACCAAATATTGGACGCGTAAAATTTCATATTATAATTGAATAATAGTTGTAGATATTTTATAAAAATAAGGAATACGATAAAAGACATTATAAATATATGCGTTACAATTTAAATTTCAAAAGTTGCCATAAAAAAAATTAAGTTGGAAGGGAGGTTAAAAAAAACAATTGTGGTAAATTGAGATCCATTGCATAAAAATACTATGTAAAGAAAAAATAAAATTTCTTGTTAAACCCAGTAAAATATTGAGTGATCAACGATAAGTTTTGTTCTATCACATAACATAATATTTCACCCTTTTAGTCTTAAAAATACATGCAGATCTCTTATAAGCTTAATCATAAATATAATATGCACTCAACTTGCGTTATAAGGTTTATTTCAATCTTATGTTCACACAAATTGTTAACGATTTGTTTTCATACATTGTAATATACAATATTTTTTCAACTATTTTTATAATTTTATTTTCTACCTTATCGAAAACAAGATATTTTTCACAAAAACTATTGTAATATAAATTAACAGCTCTAGGTATAATACAAACATTTGTTATGTTATATGTGTAATCAAATGTTTGAACTATATATTTTCTTGCATTGTAAAACCATGTATCATAGTAAAATACTCAAAATACCAAAAAAAAAAACCGAAAAAATACAAAGCTAAAATATCACAGCGCCCAATTATATTAGAAAAATAATTATAATTTAGTTTTTACCTTTAGGAACTTACCATTTGTTTACATTACAACAGTCGCTGTTAAAAAACGCTTGGTTGATAAACATAATAATCCATATGGATTACAATACATTAACTGTATGTAAATTTAAAAAAAAAATAGGTACTCGCACAGTATTTAACAATTATAAAAGCGTTTGAAAGGGTCGAGTAGTTTATCATATATGTAATAGTATATTTATTGAAAATTGTATAGCTTTCGAAAATTCGGGTTGTCGATTTTATCTTATATAAGCTAAGACAAAATATATCTATCTTCTCATTTTCAGTGTGTAGCATTTCAATGTTTTAACTATTGTTCCGGCATAAAGTTGTGTACATTGTTATTTGTACATACTTAATTAGTTACTCTATCAAATTTCAATAAAATTGTATAAAACTATACATAGAGTTTACCGATCAAATTTATTTTTTATCTTATGACTAAAGCAACAATAATACCTATCACGTACAATACACATTATTTAGCAAGTGTTATTCAGACTATGTACATATAGTTTTATTAAAGTATGACTCAAAAAAACAGTGTTATTTGTAAAACAACAAAACGCTACCAATATGTATCTATATGATAATAAAACACTCGTGTTGCCATAATCATAATTTATAAAAAAAAAAATGCTATTATAAACAAATTATTGAAATATTACCTACCCTCGACACTCGGACCTCTCCCTCTAATATCAGTCCATTTCTTTAGATATAGGTCTATCACTTAAAAACGTTTATAATATGTTCTGCTTAAAATGTGACAATATATTTTTTATCCGACTTTTCCCCTAACATTTTACTAGTATGACTGTTGAGTTGTCTAAATAAACTGATAACAATTTTGGTGCAAATCACGTGTTCTATTTATTTCATAGAACATTTTTTGAAGGTTACTTTAAATTATAACCATCAGCACAGTTTAATGGGATCAATTTATTAGAGCTCAATTAAACTAAATTCATATCAAATATATTATGTGTTTATGAAACATATGGTCAGAATTGCACTACGAGGAACGCCCTAAAGAGAGGGTGGATGATAACGAAGCAAAGGACACAGTTAAAAGGAATGTGTGTTTATTTAATTATTATAATATATACGTCAAACAGATTTTTTTGTATTAGTTATTATAACTTTAGTAACTATTGTTTGTAGTATTATGATATTTGTATTCGATGCATTCAAATCAATTTCCAGGGAAAACCGAAAGATGAGTATTTTTACTTCCATCAATAAAGAACGATAAAACATCAAGTGTTAGTCCTTTTAATTTTGGTTTATACCATCCTTCTAATTCTTGTAAATGTGTTTCAATTGCGTTTCTAATAACAGATGGTGCGACTTTATTAATCTTTGAAATGTCGACCAATTCAGTTTTATTAGTATGCCCAATTAAATATGTCAAAATCCTATTTACTTCATCAACAATTATTTTCAAAACTTCTTTAATCTGCCCTTGATTTGGTTCATCACAGAACGTTAATACTTGGTTTAACGTTTTGTCTTCAATGTAGCTGATCTCAAGCAAGTTTGCAATCAGTTTCTTGACAGTATTACTAATTATATGGACGCTAGGATTGGTATACAGTGTCACCCAAATGAAACAATATAGTTTTACCCTGAAAATATCTATAAACATTTGCTGAAATTTAATATGTCTAAACGGATCGTTCGTCCAATCTTGCTTAACATTAAACTGATCATAGACCTTTCTAAGCTCACAATTGTGCCTTTCCTTAATCACATCCCAGTCAATATCAACATAAGGCATTGGTCTAATCAAAACCGATTCTTGACTCCAAAAGTTCATAAAGAATAAATGTGAGGTGATAGGGAGCAAAGGTTTCTTGTAATTATAATGTATATGTTTATCAACGTTTAAAGTATGACATTCCTCAATTTTCCTACTTGTTGTATGATTAGGGTCTTGTAGAAGTTTAAACATGTCCGTTGTGTATTTATGTTCTGCGCACATACCCACCAAATCAGCTAAAGGTTTTCGAAACTGTTCTAGATCACACTCGACTCTATCCATATTTAATGATTGTGCCACAAGGTATAATGAAGGTGTCCATAGGTTGATATGTAATTTCCAAAGCCAGTCGAACACTATAAATTTCCCTTTGTATGCCATCACTATCATATTATCTACATGGTTAAAAATGCCTATATTATCCCGAGTTGTCCCATATAAAATGTACTGCAATATCACATATTGTGCGCATTGAATTTCTTGACCTTTGCGGTAGTATTTCAGTTGAGCAAGTGTTTTAACATTTAATGAATCTTCTGTGTTGCTGGTCAATATTCTTATTTCGGCTGCATGAAAACTGATGGGAAGGTCCTTAAATGTCTTGTAAGTGTTCAGCAGTTCAATGAAATCCTTTGAGTAGTTTCCAACATTGATGTATTGCTTCAAAAACGCAACCTGACAACATAGACATTTGTAATATTACAAATAAAGTTAAATGTATAATGTATAATAAGTGATTGTATGCAACTTAAGCTATATCACTAAAATCGTTGGAAGTTGGAACAGTTAATTTATATAGAAAAGGAGACATTGACATGGTTCCTGTTCGTATACCAAATGGTAATTATCATGCTGTTGTTCAATTTCTAGTATAAAGACAGTTAAATACCAAATTCATTGCATTTTTCAACTAGTGCTTTATCTAATGACCTAAAAGGGATTTTTACATTTGATTTTAGTATTAAATAAGTTATCTTTTGGATTTCCTATTTTATGTTATTTAACGTGGATATTGATTGAGTATATTCGGGTTACAGGGAAATCGATTTTTAACAATCAATAAAGCATGCCTTTTAACATTTAGTATCAGTATTTAACACTGCCGGTATGTTTTAGGGTATTTTTATTGGAACAGACAGTAGACAAGTCTTAAATATTTATAGTTATTACGTAATAAATATGATGACATGTTTTATATTTTGTTTTACCTTTGTTTCTTTTGATAAACAATAAATTTAAATACTTGAATAAAAAAAAACACGTTCTCGGACACGGTGAAAAGGAATATGTGTTTATTTATTTTTATAATATAAATTCCAAACGACTTTTTTTATATTAACTATTATAACTTTAGTAACAATTGTATTCAGCATTTGTATAGGGGTTTAGATGTATTAAAATCAATTTTCAGGAAACACAGCAAGCTGTGTATTTTTACTTCCGTTTATAAAGAACAATAGAACATCAAATGTTAATCCGTCTAACATTCCATTAAACTGTCGTCCGATTTCAGTTAATTGCTTTTCAATTTCGTCTAAAAAATCAGAACGTGATGATGGCGTGTTAATGTCTGAAAGGTCGGCCAATTCAATTTTATTAGTACTTTCAAGTAAACTTGCCAAAGTAGTGTTTACTTCTTCTGTTAGAATTTTTAAAACTTCTTCAATCTGATCTTTTTTAGGACAAAATAGTTTATCATACAAAGTTATTACTTTGTTTAATGTTTTGTCTTCGATGTAACTGAACTTAAGCATATCCGCAATCAGGGACTTAAAATAAACATGAAATATATGATCAGTCGGTTTATATACAGATAGTTCCACCCAAATATAACAATATAGTTTTATCCTGATGATATCAATAAACGTTTGCTGAAATCGAATACCATGTTTAAACGGGTCCTTCGTCCAGTCATGTGTAATTTCAAACTGATCATAGACCTTTTGACGATCAATTTCGTACACATGCTCTATCCCAGGCCAGTCAATAGTAACTTTCGATATTGGTTCAATCAAAAGAGATGTTTCATGCCATACACATCTTAAGCATAAATGATTGACACTGATAGGCAATGCAGGTGTATTTTTTTTATATAGTTTATGTTTCTTGTGGTTAAATTGATAAAATTCTTCAATTGTATTGTAGAAATATGGCCTACTTAATTCCATTAAACCAGGTTTATTGTTTTTAATATTTCTGTGTTTCTTACCTTTGAAAATAACACGTCCCAAAAATGTATCTAACAAACTTGGCCTACTTGCTGAACTATCTATGACTGGAATATATTTATGTTGCACGCACAATCCTTCCAAATGGCTTAAAGGTCTTCGAAACTTTTCTAGATCATCCGCGATCATATTCAATGGTTGTACCGCATTATCCGTAGTCGGTGACCAAAGGCTGATATATAACTCCCAAAGCCATTTAAATACTATGAATTTCCCTTTGTATGCCATCGCTATCATATTGTATACATGCTCAGAAATATCTTTAGTATTGCGTTTGGTGTCAAAATATAACTTGTAATGCAACGTCACATATTGTGCGCACTGAATTTCTTGACCCTTGCGGTAGTATTTCAATTGGGCGAGTATTTTATCATATAGTGAATCTTGTGTGTTGCTGGTAGTCAATAATCTTATTTCGTCATCATTAAAATTGATGGGAGGGTTCTTAAACGTCTTGTAAGTGTTCAGCAGTTTAATGAAATCCTTTGAATAGTTCCCAACATTGATGTATTGATTCAATAACGCAACCTAATAACATGACCATATGTAACATTAAAATTAAGCTAAATGTGTAATGTATAATATATTATTGTATGCAGCTTAAACTAAATCATTAGAATCGTTGGAATTTGGAACAGTTAATTTATAAAGAAATGGAAACATTGTCATGGTCCTTGTTAACGATCCAAGTTGTAATTATCAAGCTGTTGTTCAATTTCAAATGTAAAGATAGTTAAATAATATAAGCAAAGAAGACAAGTCTTAAAAAGTTTAATTTAATACTTAATAAATATGATTCCATGTAGAATATTGTTTTGTTTACCTTTGTATCATCTGGAAAATCCAACTTCCCGACTTCATTTCTTACCTCGTCGGCAATAGGTCTATTTACAAGTGTATCAATTAATGTAGATGATGTCACAATCGTTAAAGAAAAAACCAACTCTAGTATTAAAATTAAAAGACATGAGTTTGCTGCCATTATGAACAATTTCGTTTAGTACTTTATTATTTTTGTAATGCGCTTATATTTTAATGTATGTGAAAATGATGGGACAATAATAATTTATTGACTCAACAACTTGGAAAATTATACAATTTAAAAAAATATTCGACATCAGCTATCGGCTAGAGGATACGTTTAAATGCGTTGGACTGAATTTGCTTGTTGATTAGTTTGTGTTTTTCCGAAGTTTAATATAAATGTTTTTTAAAACCTGTGTAATGTGTACACAACAACAAAATAACGGTATTGAATCCAACACTTGCACACGAGTAGTATATTATTAGGTGTTTTATAACATTTAATACAGGGTAATAATAATAATAATAATATAGCCAGATTTTTTTTTATTTGCATCCGCCACACACACTAATGAACTAGCCCTGTTACTCTTTAAAAAAAAAAATTAAGGAGAAGAATATATATGTTTTTCTTTTGCAAAAAAAAACTTGTTTAAATTACTGAAATCTTAGTACATTATTGGACTTAAATCTTATTCTATTAATATTTGTGTGCAACCAAATATTGGACGCGTAAAATTTCATATTATAATTGAATAATAGTTGTAGATATTTTATAAAAATAAGGAATACGATAAAAAACATTATAAATATATGCGTTACAATTTAAATTTCAAAAGTTGCCATAAAAAAAATTAAGTTGGAAGGGAGGTTAAAAAAAACAATTGTGGTAAATTGAGATCCATTGCATAAAAATACTATGTAAAGAAAAAATAAAATTTCTTGTTAAACCCAGTAAAATATTGAGTGATCAACGATAAGTTTTGTTCTATCACATAACATAATATTTCACCCTTTTAGTCTTAAAAATACATGCAGATCTCTTATAAGCTTAATCATAAATATAATATGCACTCAACTTGCGTTATAAGGTTTATTTCAATCTTATGTTCACACAAATTGTTAACGATTTGTTTTCATACATTGTAATATACAATATTTTTTCAACTATTTTTATAATTTTATTTTCTACCTTATCGAAAACAAGATATTTTTCACAAAAACTATTGTAATATAAATTAACAGCTCTAGGTATAATGCAAACATTTGTTATGTTATATGTGTACTCAAATGTTTGAACTATATATTTTCTTGCATTGTAAAACCATGTATCATAGTAAAATACTCAAAATACCAAAAACAAACCGAAAAAATACAAAGCTAAAATATCACAGCGCCCAATTATATTAGAAAAATAATTATAATTTAGTTTTTACCTTTAGGAACTTACCATTTGTTTACATTACAACAGTCGCTGTTAAAAAACGCTTGGTTTTGATAAAACATAATAATACCATATTGGATTTCAATACATTAACTGTATGTAAATTTAAAAAAAAAATAGGTACTCGCCACAGTTATTATAACAATTATAAGAGCGTTTGAAAGGGTCGAGTTAGTTTATCATATATGTAATAGTATATTTATTGAAAATTGTATAGCTTTCGAAAATTCGGGTTGTCGATTTTATCTTATATAAAGCTAAGACAAAATATATCTATCTTCTCATTTTCAGTGTGTAGCATTTTAAATGTTTTAACTATTTTCCGGCATAAAGTTGTGTACATTGTTATTTGTACATACTTAATTAGTTACTCTATCAAATTTCAATAAAATTGTATAAAACTATACATAGAGTTTACCGATCAAATTTATTTTTTATCTTATACTAAAACTTATGACTAAAGCAACAATAATACCTATCACGTACAATACACATTATTTAGCAAGTGTTATTCAGACTATGTACATATAGTTTTATTAAAGTATGACTCAAAAAAACAGTGTTATTTGTAAAACAACAAAACGCTACCAATATGTATCTATATGATAATAAAACACTCGTGTTGCCATAATCATAATTTATAAAAAAAAAATGCTATTATAAACAAATTATTGAAATATTACCTACCCTCGACACTCGGACCTCTCCCTCTAATATCAGTCCATTTCTTTAGATATAGGTCTATCACTTAAAAACGTTTATAATATGTTCTGCTTAAAATGTGACAATATATTTTTTATCCGACTTTTCCCCTAACATTTTACTAGTATGACTGTTGAGTTGTCTAAATAAACTGATAACAATTTTGGTGCAAATCACCTGTTCTATTTATTTCATAGAACATTTTTTGAAGTTTACTTTAAATTATAACCATCAGCACAGTTTAATGGGATCTATTTATTAGAGCTCAATTAAACTAAATTCATATCAAATATATTATGTGTTTATGAAACATATGGTCACAATTGCACTACGAGGAACGCCCTAAAGAGATGGTGGATGATAACGAAGCAAAGGACACAGTTAAAAGGAATGTGTGTTTATTTAATTATTATAATGTATACGTCAAACAGATTTTTTTGTATTAGTTATTATAACTTTAGTAACTATTGTTTGTAGTATTATGATATTCGTATTCGATGTATTCAAATCAATTTCCAGGGAAAACCGAAAGATGAGTATTTTTACTTCCATCAACAAAGAACGATAAAACATCAAGTGTTAGTCCTTTTAATTTTGGTTTATACCATCCTTCTAATTCTTGTAAATGTGTTTCAATTGCGTTTCTAATAACAGATGGTGCGACTTTATTAATCTTTGAAATGTCGACCAATTCAGTTTTATTAGTATGCCCAATTAAATATGTCAAAATCCTATTTACTTCATCAACAATTATTTTCAAAACTTCTTTAATCTGCCCTTGATTTGGTTCATCACAGAACGTTAATACTTGGTTTAACGTTTTGTCTTCAATGTAGCTGATCTCAAGCAAGTTTGCAATCAGTTTCTTGACAGTATTACTAATTATATGGACGCTAGGATTGGTATACAGTGTCACCCAAATGAAACAATATAGTTTTACCCTGAAAATATCTATAAACATTTGCTGAAATTTAATATGTCTAAACGGATCGTTCGTCCAATCTTGCTTAACATTAAACTGATCATAGACCTTTCTAAGCTCACAATTGTGCCTTTCCTTAATCACATCCCAGTCAATATCAACATAAGGCATTGGTCTAATCAAAACCGATTCTTGACTCCAAAAGTTCATAAAGAATAAATGTGAGGTGATAGGGAGCAAAGGTTTCTTGTAATTATAATGTATATGTTTATCAACGTTTAAAGTATGACATTCCTCAATTTTCCTACTTGTTGTATGATTAGGGTCTTGTAGAAGTTTAAACATGTCCGTTGTGTATTTATGTTCTGCGCACATACCCACCAAATCAGCTAAAGGTTTTCGAAACTGTTCTAGATCACACTCGACTCTATCCATATTTAATGATTGTGCCACAAGGTATAATGAAGGTGTCCATAGGTTGATATGTAATTTCCAAAGCCAGTCGAACACTATAAATTTCCCTTTGTATGCCATCACTATCATATTATCTACATGGTTAAAAATGCCTATATTATCCCGAGTTGTCCCATATAAAATGTACTGCAATATCACATATTGTGCGCATTGAATTTCTTGACCTTTGCGGTAGTATTTCAGTTGAGCAAGTGTTTTAACATTTAATGAATCTTCTGTGTTGCTGGTCAATATTCTTATTTCGGCTGCATTAAAACTGATGGGAAGGTCCTTAAATGTCTTGTAAGTGTTCAGTAGTTCAATGAAATCCTTTGTGTAGTTTCCAACATTGATGTATTGCTTCAAAAACGCAACCTGACAACATAGACATTTGTAATATTACAAATTAAGTTAAATGTATAATGTATAATAAGTGATTGTATGCAACTTAAGCTATATCACTAAAATCGTTGGAAGTTGGAACAGTTAATTTATATAGAAAAGGAGACATTGACATGGTTCCTGTTCGTATACCAAATGGTGATTATCATGCTGTTGTTCAATTTCTAGTATAAAGACAGTTAAATACCAAATTCATTGCATTTTTCAACTAGTGCTTTATCTAATGACCTAAAAGAGATTTTTACATTTGATTTTAGTATTAAATAAGTTATCTTTTGGATTTCCTATTTTATGTTATTTAACGTGGATATTGATTGAGTATATTCGGGTTACAGGGAAATCGATTTTTAACAATCAATAAAGCATGCCATTTAACATTTAGTATCATCAGTATTTAACACTGCCGGTATGTTTTAGGGTATTTTTATTAGAACAGACAGTAGACAAGTCTTAAATATTTATAGTTATTACGTAATAAATATGATGACATGTTTTATATTTTGTTTTACCTTTGTTTCTTTTGATAAACAATAAATTTAAATACTTGAATAAAAAAAAACACGTTCTCGGACACGGTGAAAAGGAATATGTGTTTATTTATTTTTATAATATAAATTCCAAACGACTTTTTTTATATTAACTATTATAACTTTAGTAACAATTGTATTCAGCATTTGTATAGGGGTATTAGATGTATTAAAATCAATTTTCAGGGAAACACAGCAAGCTGTGTATTTTTACTTCCGTTTATAAAGAACAATAGAACATCAAATGTTAATCCGTCTAACATTCCATTAAACTGTCGTCCGATTTCAGTTAATTGCTTTTCAATTTCGTCTAAAAAATCAGAACGTGATGATGGCGTGTTAATGTCTGAAAGGTCGGCCAATTCAATTTTATTAGTACTTTCAAGTAAACTTGCCAAAGTAGTGTTTACTTCTTCTGTTAGAATTTTTAAAACTTCTTCAATCTGATCTTTTTTAGGACAAAATAGTTTATCATACAAAGTTATTACTTTGTTTAATGTTTTGTCTTCGATGTAACTGAACTTAAGCATATCCGCAATCAGGGACTTAAAATAAACATGAAATATATGATCAGTCGGTTTATATACAGATAGTTCCACCCAAATATAACAATATAGTTTTATCCTGATGATATCAATAAACGTTTGCTGAAATCGAATACCATGTTTAAACGGGTCCTTCGTCCAGTCATGTGTAATTTCAAACTGATCATAGACCTTTTGACGATCAATTTCGTACACATGCTCTATCCCAGGCCAGTCAATAGTAACTTTCGATATTGGTTCAATCAAAAGAGATGTTTCATGCCATACACATCTTAAGCATAAATGATTGACACTGATAGGCAATGCAGGTGTATTCTTTTTATATAGTTTATGTTTCTTGTGGTTAAATTGATAAAATTCTTCAATTGTATTGTAGAAATATGGCCTACTTAATTCCATTAAACCAGGTTTATTGTTTTTAATATTTCTGTGTTT